CTCTCTGTGTTGTGTTCAGCTCCCTCTTCCCCTCTCTCCCTCCTCTCCCCTCCTCCCTCTCTCTCCTTTCCCCACCCCTCCCCTTCTCCTCCTCCTCCTCCTCCTCCTCCTCCTTTTGTTCAGGAATCCCAAAAAGCAATGCATCGGAGCTCCTGCACCTAACCTCGCAGTATCCACATCTCAGAGACTTTTCAGAGGGAAGCATCCCAAGCTGGCGTCAGTCATGGTGATACGCTGTTTGCTTTGTCAGGAGGAGGTTTATGCCAGTGCCTCGTCGCGTGTGCCTTCAGGCTGGACGGGACTGGCTCGGCGAGCGCACATCAGGTCGAGCCCAGGGGCCACCGCTAGCTGGACACCCGCAGGCCCTCTGTTGCTGCGGGTGAGACAAGGCGTGTGGTAGATACCCTTCGTCAGAGAAGCAAGAGGTTACTGTAATGATACGTTCCAGGATTTTTTCAAGGTTTCCAAGAGTCCCGAATGTTGCGCACGGACTGCAGACACGAGGGCCGCTAGATAGTCTGGAAATCCTGACACGTATACTGAGCCAAGCCCCTCATGACATCATTCTCGTCCTACTTCCTCTGGGGGAGGATGAGATGCCTCTGCTGGCGTCTCGAGATGCATCCCGCGGCGACTCCTCCGACTGGCCGCCCGTGTCGGCCTCGTGCCGGGCGTCGCCGTCAAGAAGCCGCGGCGAGGGCCTGTCTGCAGAGGCCCTCGTCGCTCTCGCTGGGGTGGAGCCTCCCGTGTACAGTCGAAACCGACGATAGGGATTGACAGCCCTTCCATGGGTACCCCCCTTGCAGCCTTGCCTCTTCGGCCCATCTTTGACCACTTCCGATGGCGGCCAGCCCCGCTCGAGGAGCTGCGGCATGGGCGTCCAAGGGGCCTGCATCCTTTATCGCGCATCCTTGCCATCAGTTATGACTGCAGCTGGCCCCGTCGCAGCAGGGCCTCTCCTGACCAGCCGAGTTCTGGCCGGTTGGGGCTCTTTGTTTCTCTTGTGTCCCCGGTGAAGAGCAACTCCTGCGCTCTCTCTCTCTCTCTCGCTCTCTGCTCCCGTGCTCCAGCGCTCCTTCTGCGTAGGAACTGTCGGCCACATCATGTGTGACGCTCCCGCCGTGGATTGTCCCTAGCACTTCTCGCCCTGCCCCCACCTGTCCTCCTCCTCCTCCTCCTCCCCCTCCTCCTCCTCCTCCTCCTCCTCCTCCTCCTCTTCGCCGACCTCGTGCTCCCTCCGACTCCTCCCCCTTCGACCCCACTTTGTCATCGTCGTCGTCGTCGTCCTCCTCCTCCTCCTGCCCCTCCTGCCCCTCCCTCTCCTCCTCCCTCCTCCTCCTCCTCCTCCTCCTCCTCCGCTTCCTCCTCCTCCTTTCTCCTCGCCCTCTCTCTCTTCTCGCTCCTCCTCCTCCTCCTCCGCGGAAGCATTCAGGATGTGTTGACGCCTCGGGTCCGAAACTCCTGGGCCCCACTTCCGATTCCGAGGTGTTCCGAACTTGGTTCCTTCTTAGGAGACTGGAGGCTGAGAAAATCCCAACCTATATCATTACGGCGGTTGTCAAGCCTATCTTTAACGGGTGGAATGCTACTCGGCGCTATCGTCAACCTGTTTCGCTGTGTGTCTGGGGTTGTGGGTGCGACGAGGGTGACACGATGCTGCATTATGCGTGTTGTCTCTCAGTGGTGAGTCTGATACGTCATCATCTGCATTATCTACCCGTGAGCTGGGGTGAATCGCCACGTTCTGTCTTAATTCCTCACCTCTTTGTTGCCCCCTCTTCTCCTGCTCTCCTTTCCTATGCTGTCGCCATTGATCTGCTTCACTCCGTTTTCCATTGCTGCCGTGCCCGTCCCTCGTCGGCCGAGCGCGCTCGGCAGCTTATCCAGGCCCGCCTCCATGCCTCCGCTCGCCGCTCTCGCATTGTCCGCGCTCTCTGTCGTGCCTAGTCTGTGGTTGTGGACTCTTTCGCTTGTCTCCCCCCTTCGCTTCTTGTCCCCCCGTTCTTCCCTTGCTCGTTTCGTGTCCGCTTCCTCTTTTCTTCTCTTCAAGGGGTGCGACTCCTCCTCCTCCTCCGCCTTCTCCTTCTTCTCGTCACCCTCCTCTCTCCTCGCACTCCCTCCTCGCACTCCCTCCTTCCTTTTCTCCCTTCCCTCTCTCCTCCACCTCTTCCTTCTCATCCTCGTCCTCTCCCTCTCCCTCCTCCCCACGCCTCCTTCCTCCTCCGTCCACCTCTTTCTCCTTCTCCGTCCCTCGTCCCTTCTCCCTGTCGTTTTCCCCCTCCCCTATTTCCTCCTCCCTCCTCTGCCTCTCTCCTTTTCCTCTCTCGTCCTCCTCCCTCCTCCCTCCCCTTGCTTCCTCCGTAGTTGTCCTCCCGACCTAAAACATCGCCCTAGGAGCACATTCGAATACCTCCTCCTCCCTCCCTGCCTCCTCCCCACTGTCATCGCCCTCGTCCGCGTGCGGACGCCCCTCCTCCCCCCTTCCTCCTCCCCTCCTGCTCTGCCCCCCTCCCGCCTCGTCCGTGGGCAGGCTGTGGGGCGACGCTTCGCATGTGGCGTCAGGGCCTCCTCCGCCTCCGCCTCCTCCTCCTCCTCCTCCTCCTCCTCCTCCTCGTTTTCCTCCTCCTCCTCCTCGTCTTCCTCCTCCTCCTCCTCCTCCTCCTCCTCCTCCTCCTCGCTGCTGCCCCATCTGGCTCCCCTGAAGGCAGTGCGCGCAGACCTCCCCCGAGCTCCCACGGAGGCACCGTGCGCAGACCGCGCGCGCGGGGCCGGGCGACGAGGGGGGGGGCCGCCCCGGGCAGGGCAGGCGCCGCCGAGGGGCCTCCGACCACCGCGATGCTCAGGACGCCGCGCGGCTCCCCCCGGCCCTCTCTCGAGCGGTGGGATGCGGGTGGGTGCTGCAGAGGGTAGCGTGCGATGGGGCGCCGCCGGCCCGCGGATCATGTTCTGGCCCCCGCCTCTGGTCGTGGGGACCGAAGTGGGCACGGAAGCAAGGTAGGGCGACGAGATCTATGCATATCCACTGCTCCTGGCCAGGCCCATCCTGGGCCCAGGAGCTGTGTATATGCCTCCCTGGCCAGGCCAGGAGGGCGTATACACCGCTCCTGGGCCCAGGATTGGCCTGGTCAGGAGCAGTGGATATGCATAGATCTCGTCGTCCTAGCAAGGGGGTGCAGGGCCCAGCAGCAGCTGCTGCGCCTTCTGGGCAGGACTCGCTGTCGGCGTCGCGGCGTTTGTGGGCCAGTTGAGACAGAAGGCCGCCCGCCCAGCAGCGGCCGCCGTCGGTTTTTTGGACAACACTTGTCGTTGGGCATCGTACCCGTTTTTCTTCCGTGCCCATTTCGGGCGTCCAACTTGGGGACAGCGTGCACCGAGGAAGCCCTGGCATGGGGGAAGGCGGGCACCGAGGAGGCCCTCGTAAGGGGGATGGCGTGCGCAGAAGGGGCCCTCACGCCGGGATCGCCTCACAGGGGCAGTATGCTTCTCTCAGGCGATCGCAAACATGGACTAAGGGGGCGTGGATTAGCGACGTGTCCCGTTTCCAGGGGAAATCACGGATCTCCGCCGCCGAGCGAGGCGGCACTGGCCGCAATTTGGGGAGGCATCAAGTCCATGGATCGCTAATCCATGTTTGCGCGCCCCGGATTTTCCGGACATAGATGCCGCAGGCTATCGAAGACGCCTGCGGCGAAACACCGCCGCCCCCTGCCTTCTAGGATCGCCCATGTGGCCCGTTGTGGCAAGAGCTCTGCCAAACTATCGGACCATGTGTTCCCCCAACCGTTGTGGAAATCCTTCGGGGAACGCTTGGGGGAGGATGGCGGGGAAGATCAAGAGGCGGAGGAGGAGGAGGACGAGGAGGAGGAGGAGGAGGAGGAGGAGGAGGAGGAGGAGGAGGAGGAGGAGGAGGAGGAGGAAGAGGAGGGGGCATCTTGGGAGCCTCTGGGACACTCTTGGGGCCTCCTGGGAGCTTCCTGGGAGCCTCTTGGAGGCCTCTTGGGGGCCTCCTCGGGCCTCGTGGGGGCCTTTGGGGGCTTCTCGGGGCCTCTTTGGCCGTCTTGGTGGGCTCCTGGCCCGTCTGACGCCGTCGGAAGCCGTCTTGAGGGCCTCTCTAGGCCGACTTCCGGCCCTCTTGGGGTGCTCCAGGGCCATCTTGGAGGTCATCTTGAGCGTCTTGGAGGCCTCTTGGGCTGTCTTGGGGCCCTCTGGGGGCCGTCTTGGGGGCCTCTTGCTTCAAAACCGCAGGGGAATCATTGATTTTGGCCTCTTCGGGCCTTCCGGGAGGGCTTCTTGGAGGCCTCTTGTGCCGTCTTGGGCCATCTTCGAGCCATCTTCGGCCGTCTTGGTGGACTCCTGGCCCGTCTGACGCCGTCGGAAGCCGTCTTGGGGGCCTCTCTGGGCCGACTTGGGGCCCTCTTGAGGGCCATCTTGGAGGTCATCTTGAGCGTCTTGGAGGCCTCTTGGGCCGTCTTGGGGCCCTCTGGGGGCCGTCTTGGGCGCCTCTTGAATCGTTCTGGGGCCATCTTGGAGGCCTCTTGGGCGATCTTGGGTCGATTCTTCGGGGGCTCTTGGGCCGTCTCGGGCCGTCGGAAGGCCGAAAAGAAGCACATGCCCAAATCCTCCAAACACCAAAGGAAATTCAATGATTTTGGCCTCGTCGGGCCTTACTGGGCCGTGGTATCTGAGCCCCACCAGCCCGCCCTCGTAGGTGGGGATAGGCCCCGCGAGACCCGAGTAGACAACGCATGCGTCCCTATCCAGATGGGTAAGTCGGCCAGTGGGGCCATGGGGAAGAAGACAGGAATCGGTTAAACCTTGCTCATCCTGGTGGCCGACGTCCTGCAGTCGTCCACCTGTGCCGAAGGGCTGCTGGGACTCCTCCTCCTCCTCCTCCTGAGGAGGAGGAGGAGGAGGAGGAGGAGGAGGAGGAGGAGGAGGAGGAGGAGGAGGAGGAGGAGGAGGAGAAGGAGGAAGAGAGGAGGAGGAGGAGGAGTAGGAGTAGGAGTAGGAGTAGGAGGAGGAGGAGGAGGAGGAGGAGGAGGAGGAGGAGGAGGAGGAGGGGGACTTCCTCCATCTCCTCCAGGCCCAGCAAGGGTGGCTAAACATGGTTCGGCCAAGCGTGACCAACATATCCTCCCGCGGCTCCGGCGGGCCCCTTTGGGGGGCCGCGGAGCTCTCGGCCCCGTCCCCCCCCCCGGGGCGCGCCGCCGAGGAACATCCCGAACAAGTACTCGCAGGAGCAGCTCCTCGAGGAGATCAAGAGTCAGGCGCGGGCGCCCTCTCCATCTCGGCGGCGAGCGAGGGGGGGGGCTGCTTGGTATGGCGAGCGAGAGGACAGTGAGCTCAGGCACCCCAGGCTCGCCGTAGCACCGCCGCGGCGGCGACCTTCGCGCGGGCGCTTTCACGGTGGACTGCCGCCAGCCGCCTGGCGTCGGCCGACGTCGAGCGATCTGCTCTCATCGGCTAGGCGTACGGCGGCGGCGAGCCAGGGGGACGCACGTGTAGTGCCCCTGGCAGCTCTCACCAAAGGGCGTGTTGCGAAAGGGTGCTCCGTGGACCTTCGAGCGGGGGAGGGTGGCAGACGGGCAGCGAGTGGGGGAGGGGGGGCAACGCAAGTCTACGGCGACATGGCTCCCTGAGCTCGGCGGCGAGCGAGCGGGGGACGTGAGAAGGAGAAGGCCTTCTCAGAAGCCCTCTGGCCCTCTGAGGAGTTTTCCGCGTCCGCGGGGAGTGCTTATACATCTTCTCACGAGGCTGGGGGACTTCCGAGCCTTTTGAGAAGGCCCGCCGATTCTCACTTCCTCCTCCCCTTCCTCCTCCTCCTCCTCCTCCCTCCTCCTCCTTCTCTTCCTCCTCCCTCCTCCCTCCTCCCTCCTCCTCCTCCTCCTCCTCCTCCTCCTCCTGCTTATCCTCCTGCTTATCCTCCTCCTCCTCCTCCTCCTCCTCCTCCTCCTCCTCCTCCTTCTCCTCCCCAGGCTCGCCGCCGAAAAGAACCACTGCCACAGCTAGGTGGATATTTTTCGGGGGGGGGCCTCGGGGGAGAGCCCGCCGACCTCGGCACGAGCACTGTGGATGCGGTTGTGGTCGATGGGGTCGTCCTCGGACGCCATATCGACCACAACCAGTACGAAGCTGGTGCCGATGTTCCGATTTTCGAAGAAGAAAAACCACATGAACATGAATTTTTGGCACCCCGCGCGGATTTCTTGGATCCGCGCTGGGCCTCCCTGGCGGCGCCTCCGGCGCCGCCCTTGGCGCGCTCCGCGCGCCAGGGAGGGGGTTCTGGCGCGGATGTTTGTGTGTTGTTGTTTCTTCTTAGTCTCGATTTTTCCGGCATGAGCAGGACATCCCCCAGGGTGTGTCCTCGATGTGGTTGTGGTCGCTTGTTTCCCCTAGGCCTCTTGCGACTCGACGATCATCGTTAGGAACATCCCATGCTTCGGTAGCAAATCATGGGAGCCGTGGAAGCCCTCGCAGCTCCATCTTTAGAATGCACTCGCGTCGACTGGCGTCTGGTAGCCGATGAGATGGCGACGCTTCAGCGTCGATTAGCGTCGATGCGCAAGAGCCAACACGATTTTATGGCATTCGCCCTATCGTTGCCACCATCATCTCCTCCCCGAGGCCTCTGGGGACTCGATCATCATCGCCAGAGACATCCGATCCCCGACCAGGGCAGGGCAACGCAGCTTTCCCAGCAGGCGTGCCCCCTCTGGGTTGGGGGGTGCCGCGAGACCAAGAGGAGGACACGGCCCCCATCTCCACGCGGTGTGTGTGTGTGTGTGTATGTGTGCGTGTGTGTTGGGGGGGGGGGGTAGGCCGGCCGGCGGCGCCAAGGCTTCCCCGTGGGGGTGGGGATGCTCTTATCCAGGAGGAGAAAAATGGCACCAGCACAAACAACCTTTGATTTCTGGAGCCATCTGGGGGGGAATCAGACCATTCCGGCAATAGGGGAAAATGTACGTTTTGGAAATCTTGCCATTTATGTCGATTTTTATTTGTGCCCCCCCTGGGCCCCTCTGCTGATCTGCCCAGGCTGGAGGCACCGCGCGCTGGAGTGACTTCGCCTTGCTCGGCGGCCGCGGGCCCCCTCCGTTGCCCAGGTCGGTCCCAAGACAGGATTCGGGATGAGCGACCGGCTCCATGGAGGGGGACGTTCGTCCAGGTCTCCCTGGTGGGGTCCGAGCAGGTGGGCGACGAACAAAACGAAACGAGTCCATCTGCGCCAGCATTCGCGCATGAGCTTCCCGCGTAAGGTCGCGCGTGAGCGCCCTCGTTTCCAATGCAGCGTGCCGCGCCGGCGGCCCGCGCAAGCCAGCGCGCAAGGTCGCTACGTCATCGCGCGCAAAACCAGCTTCTTTTCGTCGCTCCGGTGGGGTCGGAGGGTCGCGCCACATCGCCGCTGCATCGGCGATGCGGCTCGATGCGGAGCGTGATTTTCGCCACGCAGACGGCAGCGATGCATCACCCACGTTCCGATGCATCGGCGATGCGGTGCGCCCCTCCGACCCCATCTGTTCGGACCCCGTCTGGGAGGCCTCTCGGTCAGCGGCTCGGAACAGATCGGGTCGTCTTCGAGGTCTGGGTCCTTATTGCAGCCGAGTGGCCCCCACTCCCGCTGATGCTGCTGCTGCTCCTCCTGGCAGGGCTTCGACAACAAATTCGACTTCTTCTACCTGCCCATAGACATCAAAAACAGTGCAAACGTGGGGTGCCTCGCCAGCTCTGCGCCGCTCGTCTCGCCGTCTCTGTCTCCGCCGTCGTCGTCGTCGTCGCCGTTGCTGTCGATGCGTCGCCGTCTGCGTCGCCGTCGCCGTCTTCGTCGGTCACCGCCTTCGTCGCTGTCGCCGCCTGCGTCTGGTCGCCGTTGCCGTCTCTGCCTCCGCCTCTCTTTCCCTCTGTTCGCTCTCTGTTCTCTCCCTCTCTCTCTCTTTCTCTCCCTCTCTCTCTATATAGATTCTCTTCTCTCTATTCTCTCGCTTTCTTCCTCTTCTCTCTTTCTCGCTCCTCTTCTCTTACTTTGTTTCCGCATTTTTTGTTCCCTCTCATTTTTTTTTCTCCTCTTCTCTCTCCTCTTCCCTCTCATCTTCTCACTCCTCTTTACAACATCTTCTCTCTCTTGTCTCCCTCCTCTCTCTTCTCTCTCATGTCTCTCTCTCTCTCTGTCTCTCTCTCTCTCTCTCTTTCTGCCCTCCAGGCGCAATTTCTGGCTTAATGTTAACATCTCGGGGCTACCTTGGGCCCGTACCCAACTGCCTTGCGCGGTCTTGGGGGCATCTTGGGGCCTCTGTGGGTCGCTTTGGGACCACAATGGGCTTGGGGCTTTCTTAGGCTTACCTTACGACCGCCCCTTGCTAGTCATTCCTTTGCCTCTGCCTCTGTCTCCCGCAGCTTGTCTGTCTGTCTGCCTGTCTGCCTGTCTCTCTCTTTCTTCTTTTTTTTGTATCTCTCTCTCTCTCTCTCTCTCTTTTTCTCGTTTTCTCTCTTTCTTTGTTTTTGATGTGTTACCTTTCTTGTTTCTCTCCCTCTCTCTCTCTCTCTCCCCCCCCCCTCTTTTCGCTATTTCATTATCTCTCTCTCTCTCGTTGTTTGTCCCCCTCTCTCTATCGTTTGTCCTAGATGCATTTATACATGCATGCGTGTATGTATGTATGTATGTATGTATGTATGTAGGTATGTATGTATTTCTGTCTGTCTGTCTGTCTGTCTGTCTGTCTGCCTGCCTGTCTGCCTGCCTGCCTGTCTGTCTGTCTGTCTGTCTGTCTGTCTGTCTGTCTGTCTGTCTGTCTGTCTGTATGTATGTATGTATGTATGTATGTATGTATGTATGTATGTGTGTGGATTCGATGCTCGTTTCGGGGACTTTCCTGGAGCCCACCTAACGGATCTGTTCGACCCCAGTTCGACTCAAGTTCGACTCAAGTTCGACTCAAGTTCGATTCAGGTTCGACTCAGGTTCGATTCAGGGTCGACCCAACTCGACTGACGCTCGACGCAGCTTCGACGCACGAGTGGAGCGAGTGGCTCCAGGAAGGTCCCCAGACCGAGCATCCAATATGTATGTATGTATGTATGCATGCATGCATGTATGTAGGTATGTATGCATGTATGTATGCATGTATGTAGGTATGTATACTCCCTCTTCTCCCTATAGCCTATCCTTCTCTCTCTCTCTCTGTTCGCTTCCTCTATTTTCTTTACTGCCTCCCATTTCTCAAATCGTTTCCTCTCTCTCACACGGTCTTACACAGCTTTGTTTACATACATATGTGCACAGCTAAATGTATTCTTGCATCAACATCTATGAAGATGCCTACGGCGAATCACCGCCGCCCCTTGACTTTTGGACACTGTCCATGCGGCCAAGCGTTGGGCCGAAATCTGGCCAAGCTGTTTGCCTAGGTGTCTAGCCGTTGCGGAACCCTTTCGGGGACCATTTGGGATAGGAAGAGAACGCAGAAAGAGAGGGAGGAGAAGGAGGACGAGGAGGATGAGAAGGAGGAGGAGTAGTAGTAGTAGTAGGAGGAGGAGGAGGAGGAGGAGGAGGAGGAGGAGGACGAAGATGAGGCCTCTTGAGGCCCTCTCGGGGCCTCCTGGGGGCTTCCTTGCAGCCTCCTGGGGGCATTTGAGGGGACAGGCCTCTTGGGGGCCTCCTTGGCCCTCTTGCGGGCCCCTTGGGGCCTCTCGGGGGCTTCTTGGAGGCCTCTGGGGGCCTCTACGGAAAATCTTGGCCTTCGGAGGCCGTCTCGGGGCCGTCGTTTGGCAGTCGTGGGCCCGTCTTTGAGCGCTTTGGGGCTGTCTTGGAGGTCTATGGGGCCGTCATAGGGGCCGTCTTGGGGCCTCTTGGGCCGTCTTGGGGCCCTCTTGGACTGTCTCGCGGGCCCTTTTCCGGGGCCTCTTTGGCCGATCTTTGGGGCTTATTGGGCCGTCTTGTAGCGTCGAAAGCCCGAAACGGCGAGAAAGCTACATCATTGAAGAACTGGGGAGAAGATGATGTAATACCACCTTCTCCGAGAGGGCGGGTGGGATTTGCGTATGGATTTACATTACGATTTAGACTGCGAAGGCCTTGCGGCAGGTGCCGCCGACCCTGAAGACGACGACGAGGACCGTGGCGCCCAGGCGGATGCCTTGTGCGGGCCTCGACCTGGGGAGGGGACAGCGCCCGGCTGCGGACAAAATCTAACCAGGCGCTCTCGTGTTAAATTCTGTCCGTCGGGGCAGTTCGTCAGGCCGTCTACTTTGGGGTGACGTGTCTCGGGTTCGCGCGAACGCACCTTTCCTCAAACAGCGCTTGCACTTTGTCAGGCCTTGTTTTGGGTCCGCGCTTGCGTCGATGGGTCCAGGCTGGAACTTTCGGATTGGGTCGCGTCTGCTTCTGTCTCACCGTACCCTCCTGACGTCTCCTTGTAGATTGATGGCTGTCGCCCTCCGCTCTTGGCACAGTGTGACCCAAGGGCGGACCCCTGCGCGCAGATAGCGCAGCCAGAGGGGGAGGAGGGGGTCGTCTGGGCGCCCGTCCTGAGAGCCTCTGAGGTCGTGTTGGAGGCGTTTTGGGCCGTCTTGGTGCCCTGCGGGGCTGTTCTTGGGAGCCTCTTGGTGGGCTCCAGGGCTGTCCTGGGGCGATGTTGGATGCGTCCTGGGCCATCTTGGAGCGTCGGGAAGCAGGAGGGACCAGAACGCCAAAATCTTTTTAAAACGAATGGGAAATCATTGAATGTACCACTGCTTGGGCCAGTTTGCAGGCCTCGTGGGCGGTTTGGAAACCGTCGAGGCGCGATGGACATAGCGTTCGGCGATTCGGGGCCATCTTGGAAGATCTTGAAGACCTCTTGGGGTTATTTTTGGAGTTTGTTGGGTTTTGTTGGGGTTATGGGACCCCCCGGGGGGGTGCCTCGTATCTGACCCTCCCCCCCCGGGACCTCCCTCGGACCCCCCCGGGGGCCTCCCCCAGGACCCCCCTGGGGACCCCCCCCTCCCGGCGGGGGAGGGGTCAAAGGGAAGGGCTTCCCTTCGACTCAATGCGACGTTGCTCAATTTCGTTTGGGTTGGCGCGCTGGGCGGCGACGGGTCAATGAAAACGGAAACGTATCGAACGGACAAGCCCATCACACACGCCGACAGGGTCGGCGGCTTCAGATTCATTTCGATCTGAATACCAGCGGGGCAACCGCGCGATAACCCATGGGACAGTGTGGGACAACCCGCGGGAGAATGCGGGACAACCCGCGCGACAGCCCGCGGGACAACCCACGGGACAATCCACGGGCGACCCACGGGACAACTCAGGGGACACCCCCCCGAACAAACCACGGGACAGTCACCCGACAACTGCAGCATCAGCGCGGACAACCTCGGGACAACCCGCGGGGCCTCCCACGGGGCGGCCGCGGGACAGCCCACGGAAGAACCGCGGGACAGCCCAGGGGACAACGGCTGGACAACCGCGGGACCACCCACGGGACAACCCCACGCCGCGGGACAGGTGGAGAATTGCAAAGGATTGCAAAAAAACCCTTGAACGAAGGATTGCAAAAAAAAGCCCTTGGTTTTGCAAAAAAACCCTTGGTTTTGCAATCCTTGTTTTTTTTGCAATCCTTCGGTTTTGCGAATCTTTGCCCTTGCTGCGCCGACACGTCGTCGCCCTCGAGGAACTTCGTCTCGTTCGCGAGCACAACAGGGGCATGCATGTTCGGGCCGCTTTGCTCTGACCCCAACCTTCAGCTAGGATCTAATGTTGTGTTGCCCCGCTCAGTTTCACCATTCTTGAGCGCATCGTATGCATGGGTTATCGCCCGCCTACCAATGCAATGATCATGTCGTTCTTCCTTCCCCCTGTAATCGTATATCAGCCCTTGAACGTCGCAACCCCTAGACGTCCTTCCACCAACCCTTCCCCGCAGAAAGTTACCCTGTTTGCCCCTTCTCCCCCCTCAATCCAGTGCGGTCGATTTGTATCATGCCGACGCGGCGGCGACCGCTGCGCGGGCGTTCAAAGGTCGAGTACCGTCAAAGATCCGGACTCGGCCGATGTCGAGCGACCTTCGTTATCGCACAGCCGCGATCGCCCAAGGTGTCAGGAACTCGTGCCTGGGTCGTCACGACACGAATGTGCCATATTCTCTCTCTCCCTCTTTTCCTTTAGCTTTCCCTCCCTCCACCCGTTCCTCCCCATTGAGATCACATCTCGCCTCCCCCGCCGTCCCTCCTCCCTCCCTCCCTCCTGCCCCCGTCTTCGTCTTCCTCCTCGTCCTCGTCAACGTCTTCGTCCTCCTCCCTCTTCGGCTCGGCCACGTTCCGAAGGTATGCCTTCATAAATTTCGTGGAGCCGCAAAGCTTCGACGATTTCTGCGTGAAGTTCAAGGATCCTGGAAGAGGGAGAGGGGGGGAACGAGGAAGAGATGTGGAGGAGGAAGAGGTGTAGGAGGGAGAAGGGAAGGTGAGGGGGAGGAGGTTGAGAGGACTGCGGAAGCAGGAAGGATGGAGGGAGGAAAGAGATGGAAAGGGGAGGGAGTAGGGAGGGGAGCAGCGAGAGGAGAAATAATAGGACAAGTACCAGGAGGAGGACAGGGGGAGGAGAGGAAGACGGACGCGATGAGGGTGATCATGATGTGGGAGGAGGAGGCCGAAGAGTGATTAGCTGGAGCAGGAGGAGGAGGAGGCGGAGGCGCTGCAGGAGGAGGAATATGCGTATGATGCAGAACATGAGTAGGCGGAGGAAAATGAGAAGGATGGAGGAGCCCTGACTAGGATAACGAGTATCATGATGTGAGGGAGTGGTGGGACTGAATGAGGATGAAAAAAGGAAGCGCCGACGACAATTACGTAGTCGGGGGTGGTGCGGTGGAGGTGGGTGAGTTGGTGGCGGCTTGGATGTAGATGGGTGGGGATGGGTGTTGTGGGTTGGGGATTGGTTGGGGGTGGCAAGGGGGGGGGGGAGATGACGATGCTGGTGCCGATGATGATGGTGGTGATGGTGCTGGTGATGACGATGCTGATGCTGATCATGAAATGGATGGTGGTGGTGGTGCTGCTGCTGCAGATGACAGTGGCGGCGATGACGACTAGGAGGAATATGTTGAGAATGAGGGTGAGGACGATGCTGCTGCTGCTGCTGCTGCTGCTGATGATGATGATGATGCTGATATTGATGATGCTTATGATGCTGTTGACGACGATGCTGATGATTGGGCTGATGATGAGGATGATGATGCTGATGACGACGATGATGATGCTGAGGATGACGACGACGATGATGATGTGGATGATTATGATGATGCTGCCGATGACTGGGGTGATGATGATGAGGATGATTCTGATGCTGATGGTGATGATGATGCTGCTGATGCTGGTGATGGTGGTGGTGATGGCGATGCTGATGACGACGATGCTGACGATGATGAGGCTGGCGATGCCGATGCTGACGACGATGATGCTGCTGCTGAACACGATGACAACGATGCTTATGATGAAGCTGCTGATGCTTATGATGATGCTGATGATGCTGATGATGATGAGTCTGATGCTGCTGCTGCTGATGATGATGATGATGATGATGATGATGATGAGGATGCTGATAGTGATGATGATGACGATGATGATGATGATGCTGATGATGATGATGATGATGATGATGATGATGATGATGATCGTGACTAATGCGATGATGCCGATGATGCTGATTATGATCATACTGATGCTGCTGATGATGACGATGCTTGTGCTGGTGACATTGGTGATCATGATGCTGATGCTGTTGCTGTTGCGGATGCTGCGGCTGATACTGCTGCTGATGATAGTGAGGATGATTGCGACGAAGGTGATGATGCTGATGATGATGAGGATTATGCTGATACAGATGAGGATTCTATTGGTTATGACGACGATGCTGATGCTGATGCTGATGATGATGCTGCTTTTAGGTTTGATGGTGATGCTGATATTGACGATGACGCTGCTGCTGATGATGATGGTGATGCGGATGCTGATGCTGCTGCTGCTGATGCTGATGATGCTGATGATGCTGCTGCTGCTGCTGATGATGATGATGCTGATGCTGCTGCTGCTGATGATGATGATGATGCTGATGATGATGATGATGATGATGATGATGATGATGATGATCATGATGATGACGACGGCGATGCCGATTATCATGGCTGTTGTTGTGAGGAGGGGGACTACGTACAACCAGTAGGAGGGACGCAATTGAAGGTGAGGAGGATCCATGGCAGCAGGCGGATGAGGATAACCAGGCACAGGAGCAAGAGAGGGAGGGACGGCGACAACGCTGTTGAGGAGCTGGAGGGAATTGCATTGGAAGGATGAGAAGGTGTGGCATTACTGGCGATTGATGGCGGTGGTAATGATGACGATACTGATAACGATGACGATGAGGATAATGATGGGGATGATGGTGGCGTTGAGGACTACAAGGCTGCTGATGATGACGATGACAAGGTGCATTGCGCGGCATGATGGTGAGGGGATGCTTTCGGTATCGATGGTGATGATGGTGACGATGACGATGACGATGACGACGACGATGATGCTGTTGCTGGTGATGATGATGATGCTGGTGGTGGTGGTGATGACGACGACGACGATGATGAGGACGACGACGCCGATGATGACGACATGTGAGTAGGCTTATGCTGTTGATGCTGATGATGACAATCTCGTTTAGGACGATGCGCAGGATGTTTACTTGGACGAGCACGAATCATATGAACAACGCCAAGAGGGAGTGTGAGCTTACATAGTCGCACCCTGACAGAGCGCAACCACAATGCACCCCGGACGAATCAGCGATGCTGCGGTACACTCTTTTCTGAGCCTCCCCGTCGTAAGCCTCATGCAAATATTCGTTTGCACTGCGCGCAACGTCCTCTCGAAGGTCGAGCGCATCATGGGCTCGCAGTTGCGACGGGAGCTCCGTTTCGAACGACGTGCCCCTCCGCCTATTCGAAGGAGCTGGAGCTGGAAGGAGCGCGGCAGTATGGGCTATACAGCTCCAGGTGGTGCCCAGGGATAGCCCCGCTTTGCAAAGGAGCTGCCCTCCATCCATGTACACGCTGGTCGTTGAAGGTAAAGTGAGCGGCTTGAATAAGGATCACTTACTTTTCAAAAGGGGCTCGGTCGTTCCTTAGGTTTGCATGCGTTATTTCTAGATCCATATGCGTTATTTATGTTATATCGTTCCTTATGCGTTACTCCTTGGAGACAAGGGGCTTCGTTCCTTATTCATCGTGCCTTAGATCAGGCCGATGACTGTACATATTCCTGGGATCCCAGGACACTTCGAGCGCCGTCCTGCTGCAAGAGCCGATAATCGATGTGCTTTTGCTGTGCCGTGCTGTTCTCTGGGAGGGCCTGGGCCCGATCTGCTTCATCCGCCTTCCTGCTTCATGCTTTTACCTACTCCTTCGAACCGACGTGTAATTGTCGGGGAAACATAAGACTCGAGTAAGCCAGAACTCGGGTTTGCTGAAGTTTTTGACGAGCGCGTCCTGTCTTTTGACGGTCCAATTTTAATGGGATGTCTGCAGCGGGAGCCCGCGTCAAATTTCAGATCTGGTCTCGTCATTTTTATGATGGCCCCTGTCAGGCCAACCCGAGTCCCCCGTACCCGAGTCTTACGTCTCCCCGAAATTGTTGCACACTTCCAGATGTCAGGCCATACAGTCTAACGAAGCCTCAAGTGGGAGCCCCATTTTTTAGAGAAGCCACCCGCAATCCATGTAGCTGACCAGCTACTCGTGATAGTGCGTTTGGAGAATCTCGGGCGAGAGCTCGTTTTTGAAAAAGGAACCGCCCTCCTTCCATGTAGCTGCGGCCACAAACTTGTACGTGTGGTAGTCGTTGCCTATCCGGCGCCTTGCCCGATGGTCGTCCCTGGGAGCAGGAGGTGGATGAGGTGGTGGACGTGGTAGGCATGATCGTCGTCCTACCCGACGCCCAGGCCTACGCTCAGCCTTATTCCCAGGCCAACTCCATGCGCCACGCTTCATTGGACGCCCCCCGCGGCCAGCCTGACGGCCAGCCTTATCCCCTGCCCCACGCTTCACCCGACGCCCAGCCCTGCGTCAAGCCCCACGCCAAGCTCCTCGTGTCAACCTGCGCCGGGCCCAAGGCCCAGCCATGCGCCCAGCCCAACGCCTCACCCGACGCACAGTCCCACGCCCAGGCATGCCCCACACCCGACGCCCAGCCCTTCGCCCACCCAGCCTTGCGCCTCAGCCGCTCCCGACGCCCCTCCCGACGGGAGCCCCATTTTTTAGAGAAGCCACCCGCAATCCATGTAGCTGACCAGCTACTCGTGATAGTGCGTTTGGAGAATCTCGGGCGAGAGCTCGTTTTTGAAAAAGGAACCGCCCTCCTTCCATGTAGCTGCGGCCACAAACTTGTACGTGTGGTAGTCGTTGCCTATCCGGCGCCTTGCCCGATGGTCGTCCCTGGGAGCAGGAGGTGGATGAGGTGGTGGACGTGGTAGGCATGATCGTCGTCCTACCCGACGCCCAGGCCTACGCTCAGCCTTATTCCCAGGCCAACTCCATGCGCCACGCTTCATTGGACGCCCCCCGCGGCCAGCCTGACGGCCAGCCTTATCCCCTGCCCCACGCTTCACCCGACGCCCAGCCCTGCGTCAAGCCCCACGCCAAGCTCCTCGTGTCAACCTGCGCCGGGCCCAAGGCCCAGCCATGCGCCCAGCCCAACGCCTCACCCGACGCACAGTCCCACGCCCAGGCATGCCCCACACCCGACGCCCAGCCCTTCGCCCACCCAGCCTTGCGCCTCAGCCGCTCCCGACGCCCCTCCCGACGCCCTGTCCGACGCCCTGTCCGGCGGTCTTCCTGAGGTGCAGGGAGTGGACCAAGCGAACGTTGTGGAAGAGAAGGCTGCGGAGGACGATGAGGCGGCTATCTGCCGCTTGGTGGCCCCGAGGCGTTTCGCCACCCTCCAGCCCCCGCCTCGGGCACGAGGTGGCACGGCGGGGAGGGCGCTGCAGCCACCGCGCAGGTCGCGCACCGGACCCAGCGTGCCCTGGCTTCCCGGCCCCTCTTGGCAAACCAACAGGACAGCGATCCAGGCATCCCAGATGAGGTCGGAGCATCGCGCCGCATCGCCCATGCATCGGCGATGCGGCTCGATGTGGGACCCGACTTCGCCGACACCGCGGTGCATCGCCGAAACTCGAACCCCATCTGGGAGGCCTCTAGCTTGGCGGACCAGCAGGACAGCGACGACGCGGGGCACGATCTGGGCGCCGGCTCCGCGGCCTCGTGGCGCCCCTCCGTGCGGTCCACTCCGCCCCCAGCTGGACCGACGGCCGTGGGCGGACCGCCGCACGCTGGCGCGCCGACCCTCGACCGGCGACCTGCCGATCTACCGCCCGCCGCCCGCCGACCGCCGACCGCCGACGCCGCCGACCGCCGACGCCGCCGACCGCCCGCCAACCCCCGATCGCCCACCGCCGACCGCCGACCGCTGACCGCCGACCGCCGACCGCCGACCGCCGCCGACCGCCGCCGCCGCCGCCGCGACGCCGCCGCGACGCCGCCGCCGCCGCCGACGACGACGACGCCGACGCCGACCAGTCCGCGTGGCGGCTGGCTCTGCTACCTGCCCGACGCACTCATAGGCAGTCTGGTTCGGGCAGCTCTGACAGGGCCACGCCAGTTGCCCTCCTGGGGGACCTGGACGCCAGGCCCCGCTCTGCAGTCGCTCCCCGCGGGCGTTGCCACCTCGACCTCGCAGGGCTGCGCAACCAGAAAAAAGAACAGCGGGTCAAGGAAACTTCGTGCCTCGTCGAGGTCGCGAGACGCGTGGGACCGCCGCGCCAGGAGAGGCAGGCTCGCAGGCAAAGGCAGTGCCCACCTGGGCCCTTATCCCAGAGCAGTCGTACTCGCGTTACTGCGCTCTCTGCCGCGCGAGGGCTGAGGCAGGTGGCCGCGCCGCGGCCCGCGGCTACAGCGTGCTTGCGCGTGTCTATTTCAAGCGGTCTTTTGGCTTACTGCCCCAACACCAGCGACGCTGCCAGGTTCCGGCCACCCCATCCGCGGCGCTGCCCCGTGGCCCACCGCAGTCGCCTCCGCGTGCACGCGCTTCCACACGGGGTGGCAGCTTTGGTTCGTTGGTGACGTGATTCGCCCACGCCTCTTGGTCCAGCGATTCTGACCCTTTGCGGCGTTAGAGCAACAACTGCGTGTGTGTATGTATGTGTGCGTGTGCGTGCGCGTGCGCGTGTGCGTGTGCGTGTGCGTGTGCGCGTGCGTGTGCGTGTGCGTGTGCGTGTGCGTGTGCGTGTGCGTGTGCGCGTGCGCGTGCGCGTGCGCGTGCGCGTGCGCGCGCGCGTGTGTGTGTTGTGTGTGTGTGTGTTGTGTGTGTGTGTGTGTGTGTTGTGTGTGTGTGTGTGCCCCCCCCAGTTTTTTTGCTGCTCCGCAGGTTGAGTGACCACCGCGTCGGATAGCGAATGTGTGTTCTCCCCAATCTGAGGCTGGGCCGACTCATGGCTCTCCCCTCCAGCCTCGACCTTGCCCTCACTCTCCTCCTGTCCCCTCCGCCCTCCTACGCACCCTATGTCTCCTCCTCGCTACCCAGCCTCAGGACTGGAAGTTCGCGAACAGCGGGAGCAAGAAGGCGCCAGCGCCTGACGCGCTGTCTTTTCGGAGTCTTCATGTCTCCGTTGCTCCGGAGGTTCGAGGATCGCTCGCCTCCAGAGAGCGAGTGGCAAATTATGTGTCTCGAAGTCGGCCATTTGGCCGAGAAGTCGTCAAGCTGCCTTTCTCCTGCTTGCGTTTGACTCGCCGCCCAACGGCATGCCTGCCAAAACACGCTTATGTCGTAGTTGCAGTGCAGCGATCTCTCATTTGTGCTTTCAGTAGCTGGGCAATCTATGCGAGGGCCACGGTCACCAGATAGTATCAAAGGCTCACGACGGTTGCAAATGCGATGTCGCCGACGATTCTGGCTCGGGCCGCAGTTGACAAAACAGACTTGCTGGCAGTGTCCAGGTGATCGTTTTTTATTCATTGTTTTGCCGATCGGCGCGGGCCCCCTACCCTCCTATCTCCCCCCCCATGGAGTAGATCTTGGCTGTTTTTGGCGCCTGTTTCGAGCAGGTGGAGCCGCCCTCATAATGGACGCACTCTTGCAAACCGCCGCACTGAGCAGAGGTCCGGAGCCAGACCCCTCCCCCTCCCCCCTCCACCTCCCTCCCGATGTCGAAACGCCGAATAAAAAGACGCCCACCAGGAAGTAACCTGGCAGGTGCCCATGGGGGCAGACCTCAGTCGGTATCGTTTAATCAATCCCCATCCCCATCCCAATCCCCTTCGAGATACCACTCCAGTTGGGGATATGCCCCTCGAAACCCGAAGGGAACAGTGGGGCCCAGGCCACGCCGCTGGGGATGGGGATCGGTTGAACGATATTCATTCAGTTCGGGACATCCGACGCCGTGCACTCTCAGCGCGTGCCTTTCATTTCCAGAGCCGCCGACCCCCGTATTCGCGTAGGTTTCGCGCCCGGGGTTGCTTGTTCGGCGGGGTCAGGGGCTCGAGGCAGGCCTCTGCAAACTCAGGTTGCAGGGAAAGCTCGTGATCCCGATTCTGCCCATTGCGCCGGGAAGAATGCGGAGGAGGAGGAGGAGGACCAGTGTAAAACAAACAGTCATCAACGATGTTGGCATTAACCCTCCCTCCAAGCTCCCTCTTCATAGGCCCCTACAACGGTTTATTTCCATTTAGGTTTTCGGCCTCCTTGGAAGACACCCTTGAAGACCCTGAAGCATGCCAAAACATTGTCTTCGGGATTTCAACGCAACGGATCAACCTGAGTGCTGCGTCTTGACGATCTGGAGCCGTGCCAGAACGCCATTTTTGGGACTTCAACACCGCGAATCAATCTAACTGTTGCACACGCGTAATTCTGAATCCTTCCCAAACACCATTTCTGGTACGTTGGTCATGGGAGTCCGTGAAACTCTGCCAAATCTGATGAAGGAATGTGCGCGGCGCGAAGGTAAGAGCTACATTGTGAAAAGGAGCCGCCCTCAATCCGTGGAGCTCTTGCAACTTTTTAAAACGAATGAGCGCAGCGCTACGACGAGAGCCACATTTTGAAAAGCGCCGCCCTCATTCTGTGAAGCTCTTTCAATGTTTTAAAACGCGCGGCGCTAAGGCGAGAGCCACATTTTGAAAACCACCCGCCCTCATCTGTGAAACTGTTGTCAATATTTAAGCTTCAGAGTCATGAATGGTGATGGAGTCGCAGGCGAAACGCCCAGACCGCCCTAAGAACCGGCCCCTGAGTGCGACATGGAGAAGTTATTTATAAGGAAAAGGAATGGAGGAGGAAGAGGATTTTGGTGTGCACGGATTTCCCCCCTGTAGCACGCACGATAGAGGACGAGGACGAGGACGAGAACGGATCAGGACGAGGAGGTACGGCTGAATTGAGCGCGCCCGTGCCTGGCGCCTGCGTGAGCACGGGGCGTCGGTTTCCCTGTCTCCGTGTGCCAGCGGGACGTGAGTCGACCGCTGTAGATGTCCCATGTCCATCTGTGAGGCGCCTGAGGCCAAAATTACAGTCAGCCCGCAGAGTAACGACGGCCAACCTTGCCAAGGGTACCCTTGCATCCTCCTCTCCTCGGTCCATCCTTGGCCACTTTCGTTGGCCAAGTCCCCCGAGTCCCCCCACTCCTCCTCGCGTCAGCCCGTGGTGCGCGCCACCAAATGGTTTTTGTTTCACAGGACCCCCAGACGAGACGCCAGATTCAGGCCCACTTCCTCGATCCGTGTGGCCAAAGCTGTTTGCAAGCTGGCGGGCAACATTCTCTGTCAGTGGCCCCCTATGTCACAAGCCACTAAGCCGCCCCAACTCAACCCGAAGGCCCCAATGAGCGCTCCGTTGGGGGTGGGAGCGTCGGGGAACACTGAAAACACATCTGGAACCAGTACCCCCCCACCCGAAATTTAGGTCTTCGGGTTGGGTTGGGGTGGCTGGTAGGTAGTCAGTGTAGACCTCTCCGATTGCCTCTTGGATGGCCACTGATGACCTCCCGCGGTGTCGCCACATGGCGGCGGCGGCGCTGCCTAGGGAGGAGGGGCCCGGGTCGTCCTGGAGAGGTGGCCGCGGTGAACGCTGCGACGGTCCAGGGGCTGAAGCTGAACATCGAGAACCTGCTGAAGAAGCGGGTGAGCCAGGCGCGCCTGGGAGGGGGAGGAGGAGGAGGAGGAGGAGGAGGAGGAGGAGGAGGAGGAGGAGGAGGAGGAGGAGGAGGCGAAGGAGGAGAAGGAGGAGAAGGAGGCCAGTGTGTCACCGCCCACCAAGCCGCCCCAACCCAACCCGAATGCTCCGATTTGCCCTCCATTTCTAGTGGGGGGGGGGGTCGGGGAACACGGGGAAAACACATGAAGCCCGTACCCCCCCAATTCGAAATCGCTTCGGGTTAAGTTGGGGTGGTCTGGAAGGTAGTCAGTGTAAACCCACTGCTCATCAACGACATTTGGAATACACCCTCCCTCCGAGCTCCCTCTTCATAGGCCCCTACAGGGGTTCATTTCCACTGAGGGAATTGCCCCGTAGGTGGGCAACCGTCTGAACATCTTGAAGCGTGCCAGAACATCAAGAACGTTATTCTCAGGAAATCAAGCCACGGGTTAACCTGACTGGTACGTCTTGGCGATCCAGAATCGTGCCAGAACACCGTTTTTGGGACTTCAACACCGTGAATCAGCGTAACTCTTGCGCCCTGACAATGTTGAATCGGTCCAACACGCCAAGCCAGGAGACTCAGTGAAACTCTTGAGAATTAGAGCCACATTTTGAAAACGAACCGCCCTCAATCCGTGAAGCTCTTGCATATTCTAGAACGAATGTGCGCGGCGTTGAGGCGAGAGTCACATTTAGAAAACGGCCTGCCTTCAATCCGTGGACTTCTTGCTAATTTTTTTACGCATGTGCGCGGCGCTGAGGCGAGAGCCACACTTTGAAAACCACTCGCCCTCAATCCTTGAACCTCTTGCATTTTTTAATTAATGTGCGGGCGAGAACCACATTTGCAAACGGCCCGCCCTCAATCCGTGAAGCCCTTTCAATGTTTCAAAACGAATGTGCGCGGCGCTAAGGCGAGAGCCACATTTTCGAAATGGCCCGCCCTCAATCAGTGAAGCTCTTGCATTTGTTAACGCATGTGTGCGGCGTAAGGCGAGAGCCATATTTTGAAAACGGCCCGCCCTCAATCCGTGAAGCTCTCGCACATTTTGATAGCGAATCTGCGCGGCGCTAAGGCGAGAGCCACGTTTTGAAAACGGCCCGCCCTCAATCCGTGGATTTCTTAACCCCATGCTCACGATAATAAACACTAGGGGATAATAAAGTTCGGGGTTCAGGGGGAGATAATCAAAGTAGCCCGCCAGACCTCAGCATAACCTCGAAGTAAGAGATGATCAAGAGGAGACCAAACCGAGCACGTTTTGAGACATCCTTGGCGTTTAGTCTTCATTCAAATATCCTCAACAATGGCTTATCTCGCTGGAGACATCCTCGACAAATCCCTTGTTTCGCTTGAGACATCCACAAACTATTGCTTATTTCGCTCGAGACACCGTCAAACTATTGCTTATTTCGCTTGAGACATCCTCGAAATAATTGTGTTTTTCGCTTGAAACATCATCAAACTATTGCTGATTTCGCCTGGACATCCTGAAACTATTGCGTATTTCGCTTCAGACATCCTGGAACTATTGCTTATTTCGCTTGAGACACCGTCAAACTATTGCTTATTTCGCTTGAGACATCCTCGAAATAATTGTGTTTTTTATTCTCGAAGGTCTCATTGTCTGGTTCTGCTCTCTGAGCAGCCATCTGCTTGAGCAGCTCTGCTTCAGCAGCTCACCTTGAGCAGAGAGAGATAGTGAGAGAAAGAGGAGAGAGGGAGGGAGGGAGAGAGAGAGAGAGGTGAGACTCTCTCTCTCTCTCTCTCTCTCTCTCTCTCCCGCCGTGCGCTCCTCTGAGGTTTATTATCGTCGGCAGTTTTTTATCATCGGCTGAGGTTTATTATCGTCGGCAGTTTTTTATCATCGGCAGTGGTCAATCGCAACTCCTGAGCTCTCCGGGAAGACGGCGGCACGCAAAGGATACGCATTTTTTGAAAAACGTCATTTTGAAAAAAAACTTTTTTTAATTGCGAATTCCATTGTAATCCTTTCAAAATTGCGAAATCGAGCCGTCAGGCGCTTGAATGCCACATTGCGTTCGAGATTTAAGCACGCGACGCATTTATGAGAAATTTGCGTCGCACGCGCTTTTGCCCGAATATCGAACGCAGTGTGGCATTCAGGCGCGTGCGGGTTCGAATTCGCAATTTCGAAAGGATTTCAATGGAATTCGCAACCAAATATAGTATTTTTTGTCAAACTAAGGTTTTTCAAAAAAATGCGTGTCATGAGAAAACTGCGTCGCACACGCTTTCGCCTAAATCTCGAACGCAGTGCGGCATTCAAGCGCCTGACGGCTCGATTTCGCAAATTCGAAAAGATTCCAATGGAATTCTCAGTTTAATAAAATATTTTTTTCAAAATGAAGTTTTTCAAACACATGCGTATCATTTGCGTGCCGCCGTGTTCCCGGAGAGCTCAGGAGTTGCTATCGACCACTGCCGATGATAAAAAACTGCCGACGATAATGGACCTCAAGAGGTTGTGCTGAGGGGTTGTGCTGCAGGGTTGTGCTGGAGGGTTGTGCTGGAGGGTTGTGCTGGAGGGTTGTGCTGGAGGGTTGTGCTGGAGGGTTGTGCTGGAGGGTTGTGCTGGAGGGTTGTGCTGGAGGGTTGTGCTGGGGGGGTTGTGCTGAGAGAGAGAGAGAGAGAGAAGGACAGAAAAGAAGACACATTTTTTTATTTAAATAAAAAAGAAAGATATAACACATTTTGCAGAAACATAAAAAATCAAAAAAATCTTGTAATAAAGAAGAATAATAAGAAGAAGAAAAATAATAAGAAGAAGAGAAGACATATAGAAAGAAAGACAGATAGAGGAGGAGGAGGAAAAGCAAACATTTCAAGTTTCAAATCCATCAGATTTTATTTAGAAGCGCTTTATGAAAATTGAGAAAGAGAGAGAGAGAGAGAGAAGAAGAGGATATAATGAAAAGCAAGAGAGGAAAGAGAGGAGGAGAGGAAAGGAGAAGACAGGAGAGGAGCAAGAGGAGAGAGAGATAGAGAAACACAGAGAGAGAGAGAGAGAGAGAAAAAAGACAGAGAGGAAATAATACAAAAAAACCTATCAGATTTTCCATGGATAATCAACCCCAGGGATAAACAAGTTCAGGGGGGCATGGGGGGGAGAGAGACAGAGAGATGGAAAGAGAGAGAGAGAGAGAGAAGAAATAATGGAAATGAAGAGGAGAAAAACAATTCAAGAGGAGAAGTAGAAGAGGAGAGGAAGAGGAAAAGCACAAATTTCAAGTTCCAAATCTAATATATTTTATTTACAAACGCTTTATGAATTTTTTAAGTGCTCGTGTAGGAGCTCATGTGCCTCACTTTCCGTGGGTAATCAACCCCAGGGATAAACAAGTTCAGGGGCGCATGGGGAGAGAGAAATAGATAAAGAGAGAAATAAAGAAAACAAAGAGAGAGTTGAGGGAAATACATAAAAGAAATATTAAAAAGGACAAGGGAAAGAAGAAATGAGGAGGATAAGTAGAAGAGGAGAGGAAAGGAGGATAAAACAAAACATCTGAATATTCAAATGTATTAAATTCTGATTTACAAGCGCTTTACGAACATTAAAATTTTTAAGTGCTCGTGTAGGGTAGCTCATGTGCCTGACTTTCCGTGGATAATCAACCCCAGGGATAAACAAGTTCAGGGGGGCATGGGGAGAGAGAGGAAAAAAGAAAGAAATAAAGAAATATATAAAGAAATAAACATCTAAATCAAGAAACAAAGAAGGAGAAGAGACGAGGAATAACAAGAGCAAACATTTCAAGTTCCAAATCTATTATATTCAATTTACAAACGCTTTCCGAAAATTGTTTTTTTGAGTGCTCGTGTAGGGTAGCTCATGTGCCTCACTTGCCATGGATAATCAACACCAGGGATAAACAAGTTCAGAGGGGGCATGGGGAGAGAGAGGAAAAAAATAAAGAAATAAAGACATATATCAAGAAATAAAAATATAAATTAAGAAAAATGAAGGAGAAGAGACGAGGAAGAAAAAGAGCAATCCTCGAGTATATGCTTGTTTCGCTTGAGACATCCTCGACAAGCTTCTCGAATCGCTTGAGACATCCTCGCAGAATTGCTGGTTTCGCTTGAGACATCCTTGAAACATTGCTCGTTTCGTTTGAGCCTGCCTCCCAAATTTCTTGGTTTCGCTTGAGACATCCTCACAGAATTGTTGTTTTCGCTTGAGACATCCTTGAGAAACGTATCGTTTCGCTTGAGACATCCTTCAGTATATGCTTGCTTCGCTTGAGACATCCTCGAGTATATGCTTGTTTCGCTTGAGACATCCTCGACAAGCTTCTCGAATCGCTCGAGACATCCTCGAGTATATGCTTGTTTCGCTTGAGACATCCTCGACAAGCTTCTCGAATCGCTTGAGACATCCTCACAGAATTACTGGTTTCGCTTGAGACATCCTTGAAACATTGCTCGTTTCGTTTGAGCCTGCCTCCCAAAATTCTTGGTTTCGCTTGATACATCCTGAAAAAGTGTGATCGCTTCGCTTGATGATGCGATTTCAACATAACTTGATCTTGCTATCTCAACATAACGTTCCGAGGTGATAATGAAGTTTGGCCTCCGCGCCCCGCGCCCCCGACCAAACTCTTATTGGTCGACGATAAAAAACTCTAACGACTTAAGGGGGGGGGGTACATTATTATCGTGGGCATGGGGTTATCAAATTGTATGTTTAGGGATCATACGTGGTGAGGAAGTCTCAGGCGAAACGCCCGGTCCGCCCTTTCGACGGGCCTCGTGGTGCGACGGAGAGGAGTTACCTCTAAGGGAAAGGAACGGGAGGAGGACTAGAAGCCGCATGGGGAAGAGGAGAGGATGAGCAAGAGGAGGGAGAGGCTGCTGAAGAAGCGACTGCGCCAGGCGCGCCCCGGGGTTCTTCCCCTCTGGA